CAATCCCGCGGCCACTGTTGCGTTTTCCAAACTTGTTGGCATATTTAGTGCAGCACTTTAACAGCATCATCTTTTAGCATTTTAAAAATATTCAATACAAGACACAATACAAGAAGTGTTGTTGCTACTGAGATGACAGACAGTTAATGAGCCTGGTCAGAGAAGAGTTTCAACAGGTTCATCAAGACTTTACCTGTTCCTGGCATCTCATTAGTTTATGCAGGGAATGATGGCAACATCAGAGTAACTAATTTTAACACACGCTATATAAAATTGTATGGAAAAGAGATCAACTGCTGCCACTGGGTAAATCAGGGAAAGGCTCTTAGAAATGAGACTAATAATAGAGTTTTGTTCTCACTATAGTTATTTGTTAGCTTCTGAACTACCTATATATGAATTTGTTGAGAAAACAGCAGTGAAACTGGAAAATGCTCTAAACAGTGACATTTCTAACAGCTCCTTGTAATCTTGATTCAAAGTACAGGTAGTCCTCACTTAATGACAATAGGGCCTGGAAAATTGGTTAAGTGGGACAGTAATTAAGTGAGGCATCATGTGACTGCACCCAATTTTACGACCTTTTTTGCGGTAGTCATTAAGCAAATCACACAGTTGTTAAGTGAATCATGCAGTTCCCCATTGATTTTACTTGCCAGAAGCCAGTTGGGAAGGTCCCAAATGGTGATCATGTGACCCTGGGATGCTGCAACCATTGTAAGTGCAAGCTGGTTGCCAAGTGCCTGGATCGTGATCACATGACCATGGGGGCACTGTGATGGTTGTAACTTTGGGCACTGGTCATAAGTCACTTATTTTAGCGTAGTTGTAACTTTGAACAGTTGCTAAACAAATGGTTATTAAGCAAGAACTACCTGTATCAGTCTTGCTTCTTTGAAGCCTGCAATGCAGTTTTCACATTACAGCCCTCTGTGATTCTGATAGGTAGCCTTGGAGGGCTGAGGCCAGAAGTGAACCAGAAGAAGAGATTATGAAATTGCTGCACCCTCTCCTGCTATCCAGCAGGTGGTTTCTGCTGATGCCTTCTGAGAACTGATGGAAACCTTCCCTTCATGAAATTGCTGGTCTGGATACAACTTGCTGTTTGTTTTCTGCAACACTGCACACATACAATTGTGCATAATATCTGATGTAGAATCTGATACCTTATCCAGAAATCCATTTGTTAAGGTGTTAAGATTGTGGAGATTGCTTTAGTAGAATCCTCTCCAATTCACTCCTTTGACTATGCATAATGTAGCTATCACAGGGTGTATATATTATGTGTACTTATATAATTTGATCTGTCTTACTGAAATAAGGATCAGTGAGTCCTTGGACTACCCTATGCCAATTTGGCTTGTTCTACCTGGATCACAAGAAAGATTTTCTATTCAGGCTGGTTTAATTGTGTTCCTCTCCAGGAGTTGAGCTCAACTTGAGGGAAACTATCTTTTACAGTAGGGAGATCTGAACTGCCTATTAGTGCTGAGGAGCTGAAAGAGGCTGGTTATACATTCTAGGGCTATTTTCAGAATATTTTTAGCATTCATGCAGAATCTGACACACAAAAAACTCAAAATCCTACCCTTAATTTCACCACTGTAGCCAATGATATCACTGATTTCATAAATGTTGAAAAACTAAATAGCTACTTGTAGACATACAGCTTTATGTAATCTAACTGTGCATTTAAATATATTATTAAACTTGGAAAATGCATTCAACATAGCTATATTCGTTATAATTTTAAATTTTAAAAAATCAAATAATTATCTTACGACACGTAACAGTTGTGTTCCCAACTGGGTTGGGATAATTAATCTTTATGAGGAAAAGATCAGTGGTACTGCATTCTTAATATCTATAGCAACTTCCAACCCATATTGGAATTACAATTTCCAGAAGTTATAGGCAGCATAATGGTTGGCCATGTTGACTGAGAATTATGGGAGTTGTAGTATCAACATATCCAGAGGGCACAAGTTTGGGAAAGCTAATCTACCTACTTTGTGATAATGAGACCCTTGGCTTTCTTGCAATACTTGTGTCAAATTATCCCATTGCCAAAGAGAGCAACCCCCCTTTTATAATTACTCCAGTTCTACCATATTGTCATGAAATCAAATTTTGGAGTATTTCATGCACAGCATGTTCTGTTAAGAGTCTCTTGTTCACATTACTACCAGCAGGATGCCTTGCACTGCTAGCTGTTTCTTGATGAAATTTAATAAATATTCATTGGCAGAATGCAATGGAATTGATTCAGTTACTTTCATTTTTATCAGCTCAGCAGGAGACTCCAGGTTCTACAGAAAGCCTCCAAGAAATTCTAAAGGTTGGCAATAAGAGGCTTTTGTGATTCACATTGTGAAATGAGAAGAAGCTGGCAGTACCTTATCGATGTCTAATTCACCCTGTCAAAAATCAGAGTTTTTAAACAGCCTTGTGCATTTGTGAAAATTTGGAACATGTAGCCTCAGGTAAAATGCTAAGACGTAAAACAAGATGTCTGCTCTAATGATGATGATCATTCAAATGCTACAAAAATTATTTGAATAAAAAAATGAAATATTTTATGTTTACCTACAGTAGTTACTGATATTAGGTGAAATTTAAGGTATGTTATACATATGGAAGAGCAAGGGAAAGCAGTATGGGATTACAACAGTTCATAATAAGTCAATGAAAACATCCTTGTGACGGAAGCTAAAGAAAGAGGGAAAACAGACATGCCACTATCACTGCAATCCAATGGAACTGGAGAACACCCATAATTAATTTTGGACAAAAGGGGCTATTACCTCTCTAGGATTCAACATTGTCATAAGGCATTTTGATACTGGATATTATATTAACAAGCATTAGTGATATTAGCTGACTTACAGCTGAAATATTGAGTGTATTCATTTGAAGTCTTTTTGTTTAAAGTATACTTGAATTGCCTCTATTGAAACCTGTGATGCAGGCCTGCACAATGGGGGAGGGGAAAGGGCCCCATTGATACATCACTGCAGGCCACAAAGGAATACTGTACCTGGTGCGCCAATCAGCTGTTTGGCAGCTAGCGGAGCAGCAGCACTCTGGAGCTGGTGGGGGCAGAGAGACTTGGGAGGCGCTCAGCAGCATATCTTTTGGGGAGATGGTGGTGATTTTATTACTTTTTTAAAAATGCCAATGGGCTGCACAAGCATCCTTGGTGGGCCACATACAGCCCGTGCGGTGTATATTGTGCAGGCTTGCTGCGATGCATCCATGAGCAGGCTGGGGCAGGCAAGGGAGAAGGAAAACCATCAGGTTGCAAGGGAACCATCATCTGCATAAAGGGCAAGAATGGTCTTGCCGTGCACATGCCACAATATAAAGAAAACCTCCCCTTACTAATTTGCTGGTTTTCTACTTACTGGAAGGCCAGTGAAGGTAACTGGGGGTGTCTGCCAAGAGATGCTAAAGCTTTTTCCATTGGGAGTGAACTTGGCTGACCCTGGAATGTTCACAGGAGCTGTGGCCTGTTTCAAAAAATAGGGAGACAGTTAAGAAGGAACATCTCCATGTTACCAAATTAAGTGTTTGATTCTTTTCTATGAACAATAATAAATTGGTCTCATTTTGAACTGGCATTCTATTTTTCATGCAGTTCTCTTGAGGACAATAGAGCGAATAGCTAATGATACCACTGAAAGACAGAAACAACTGTAGTCACTATAACATATGAGAGATAAAGAATCCATAATACATGCAGATCAAGTAAAATTATTTGAAAGTTTAGGTCTTGTAAAAGCAGCACTTTTCATTTCCCCAAAGTGGCTTCTTCTAGATACACTGAACTATAACAGCTGTTATAACATCCCCAACCAGCAAAAGGTTCTTGCTGGTGATGATGGGCAGGCCACAAAGCAACTAATCTGGAAATATCAGACTGGGGAGGATGGTTTTAGGGAAATCTATACCAGAGCTGGGGAAAAAAATATTTGCCAATTTCTGGCAGAAGTACCAGAGAATGTTTAAAAGAACAGAAGCAGGCTAAATAAAACATATAGTGCCCTCATGATATTAAAAGTAGCTCTGGATATGAAACAGAATTAGCCTTTTAAGGAGTTTTACAACAACTGCAAAACAAAAGTGGAGATGAACAGAAAGAAAAGATAGACATGGCAGCCGGTAGCCATTTGCGGGATTTAACTGCAATTGCTGAAGAAACAGAACTCAGTTAAAACAGCTATACATATAAATAGCTATTTATCTATAAAGAGCTATAGTCTCTTATCTCTTCTACCTTACTGTTACAGAGGTTTGCAGATTCCTTTTTCCATAAGACTTGCAGAGGGATCTTTTCTGTCTTTTCTCCTTTATTTCTTACTTATTTACTTATCATTTTCTTTTCTTTTTCTTCTTTAAATTTGTATTTTTTTACTCTGTAAAAATTTTCTTCAATAAAAATTAATAATAATAATAAAAAAAGACTTGCAGAGAGATGTGGAGAAACTGCATTTGCTGCCATCAGTCTCCCCCTGTATATATCACCTCAAGAGATCCACCCAATCTGGACACACCCTAGCTCTGGGTGTCTTTACGAACTCAAAAGTTTTTTTACTGGTGATACTGGCTTTGTAAAAGCCCATTCCGAGGGATGGCACACCAAGTTCCAACAACTGGTGTTGTCAACAATAGCTTTCGTTGGGGCCTTCCGGTGGGGACAACGGTGGCTTGGTCATCTCCGTGAGAGGGGAGACGGCACTGCAGCTGGATTGGCGGATGGCAGCAAGTGCTGACCACCCAGCTTGCTCTGGATTAAGGAGGAACTGAGAAATCAACCCATTCAGTCTCTGGGACAGCTGTTCCTTGTAAGCTAATCACAGAAATGGAAGCTTCTGCAAACAGCTTGCGAGTGAGTGGCCCGGAGGCGGGAGATCCAACTTTGTTCACAGCTGTGGTACAGCCTAAATATGGACACTAGAGCCAGCCAAACCTAATTTCTAAATCACTTTGGAATTTAACTATTTTTCAATGTAAGAGAGACCTTCTTTTGCAACAAATAAGTAATTCTCTTGGTGTTTTTTCATTATTTCTGGGACTATAACTTTAAAAGAAGAATTAGAGTTTTATTGTAATTTGAACAATTTGCAAAAAACTGGAAGATGAGAATACAAATATACATATACATATATA